AGCAGACAATCGGGGTCTGTGGCAGTTGAGCTATAAAGAAGCCACACATGTGGTCATTACATGTCAACTTGAAGTGCAGGGGTGGAATCTAGCCTGTTAATCAGGTCACAGCCTGATGGTGCCTCCTTGTGGGCATGACCTCCACATAACAAGGGTCCTGGGAATCTCTCCCCCTCCCACTCCCCTGAGCCGATTCAATTTCCTATTGGCCAGCCACATGGCTGAGATCTGCCAGAGCCTTGTGATGCTTCCACCGCCATTGGAACCACAAGGCTGCACCCACTGGCCTGGGATCTGTCTGCATTCTGCATTATTGCATGTAGCTGCATGAGTCAGAAGAGAGATTTTTTGGCCTAGTATCAGACTTACAGACTTGATCTGGACTGGGCTGAGATGTTTTCCTGATATATAACTACTCCTTGATATATAGCTCTCTCTTACACATATATGAGTAGCACTGAATTTGTTTCTCTAGTCGACCCACCCTAAGACAATGTGTCTTCTGTGCAGTAGCCTTGCAGTCACTCTTATCCACACATGCTTTAGACATGTGTACACCCAATGTGGGCCTACCCATGGTGCCTGGGGAGAATGCAAACATGGGAAGAAGCAGGTCACAAGGGCAAAGCGCTAGGGGATTCCTGCTGAGGGGGTTCCTAGATATTCTCTGAAAGGCATTTCCTTGTGTTTCCTTTTAGCCATAGTCTCGTTAATGCCCCTTCTTTTCCTTTTTCGTCTCCTTTCACTCCCCCACCTTTTATTTTTCACGTTCTTCCTCTGTTTCCTAATGAAACCCTCTTCTTCTCCTCTCACTTCTTCTCTTCCCTCTTCTTTTTCTCTTTTCTTCTTGTGTTCACCCTTTCTCTCAGTTCTCTTACACTTCCCCTCTCCTATCCTTCTAGAAACCATGGCTAAGACCTAGGTCCTAACCCCACGCCTAAAGTCCCAACAGTACTGAGATGAACCAGGTACAGACTCTATGGCTGTGGTGCTCTCTGTAGTATGGAAGACGAGCAAGTAAACAAATGATCCTGAAATAAGGCCATGAAGATAAATAAAGATACCAGAGCAATCTGGAGGAGCTGAGGACGAATTCTATCCTAGGGACCGAGGGAAGCCTTCCCAGAAGAGTTATTTCCAAAGGCTGCATAGGAGGACAAGGAAGAGCAGAAAGGCTTCCAACCAGAATAGAGCCCAAGGGCAAGGGCACAACGATGTAAAACCAGTGTTTGGTTGGAGGCTCAACCAGGGTGGCTGATACATGCGACACGTGGAGACAGCATGCGAGTTGAGTTCACCCCATGACAAAATTCATGCCTGGCAGGCCATGGGGATTCTTAGAAAGTTTCTAGAAAGGGGAACACAAAAGGGACTCCCACCTTCTCTTGCACACCTCATTCTTCACTACCTCAATTTCTCCATGTCCTCTTTCCCTCTGTTTCTCTCCATCAATCTTTTCTCACAGAGCAGTTGCCTCCCTCCTCTCCCCTAATGATCCCTTCCTACCCCCTCTGTACTGTGCCCCACCCAGTTTCATCGCCCGCTGGTTTGGGGTCATCTGTGTGAACAGATCCGTTTTGGAGACAACAGACATCTCCCTGCATCCAAGTACTATCCTCCTGTCCTTCTGGAAGTATCCATGTCCCCCCCTTCCTCTGCTTCCCTCATGGTCCCCATTATTCCTTTTCTGTTCTGAGCTCAACAAAGACCAAGAAGACAAAGACTGTGCGCATAGCCTTGGGGACATCGAAGCGGAATCGGAATGGGTCTCTCGAGCACATTTCAGACTTTTAGACCAGCTGCTTTATTGAAAGTCAAGCTTTGTTTTTGGCTATCTTGGGCTTTCAGAGAGGAAAGAGACCTTCGAGACAGTCCTAATGTTTATAGTCATAATCAATGCAGTACAATACCAATATTTGACATTAACCCTAGTACTAAGGGTGAGCTTTGTAGCATGTCCTCCTCACAGGCAGTACTTCCATCCAAACTCACAACAGAATCAATTAATGTTTGTAGACTACCCACTCTGTACCAGATAATGTATTAGATGTATTAGACATGCGTTGGCTCACTTAATGCTTAAGTAAACCTCACGAGGAAGGCATTTATTACGTTCATTTCATCCTGGAGAAAATTCAGGCTCAGAAAGGCCAAGTGCCTTTAACAAAGTTCCACAGCTATTAAGGGAAGAGCCTAGTTTTAACCCAACACTGCCAACTTGAAGTCCAGGGTTTGCTCTTTGCCACACCTGCAATAATGTACAGGTGAACTTTTTTTTTTTAAATCAATTTATTGGGGCTCATACAATTCAGCACAATACATAGATCAGTTGTGTAGAGCACATCTATACAATTGTTGCCCTCATCATTCCCAAAATTCACTTGCCTCTTGGGTTCCCGGAATCAGCTTATTTTCCTTTTCCCCCCCTCCCCCATGCACCCTTGAACTTTTTTTTTTAATCTGTGTGTTCCAGATGACAGAAACTACCTACCCAGAGGTTAATAGACTCAGATGCTCTCATGATACATATACATAAAGTGAGTCCAAAGGGTTTTGCTACATGAGTTATAAATCTAATGCCACAATAACATCACACAATAATATTATTTTTTGTCCTGCTCTCATGGGTTGGATGGCCATCTGCTTCGCCCTCTGAATACCCTCCCATCCCAAAGCAACATCGAGGGACAGGCAGACCTGGGGTGAGAGTCAAGGTCAGTGGGCAGTGTGGTGGGGAAGGAGCCTGTGGGTCTATCTGTCCCTGTGACAGCCCCATATGTCTCCTGATCAGAAGATGCTCCCACTCCCCCAGAGCAGCTCATCATTCCTCATGATGTTGCTGCCTCGGGAGCCAGAGTGGGCCTCTCTCATGCCATGCTGGTGACTGACGATGTGGTGGTGTGGCAGGGTCCAAGTGCACCTCCAGCTCTCCACGGTCTCACACAGTTGGAGGAGGAGGGGGTGTGGATGACTGGTCTTTGTTCTGAGGCGGGGATTGATCCATGCCTGTGCTGAGGCAGCTGGAGGGGTGGGCTGCCTGCCTGGCCAGCTTGTTAGGCACACGGACTCAGAACATTTAGCTTGTGAGCGTTGGCACATGTGTTCAGCGAAAGATGGTCTCCCTGCTAGGAGGCACTGGCCAAACCAGGTTAAATTCTGGGCTTGGCCACCACTGCTTCGGACTTAGGAATAAAGAGTGGTTTAAGACCCAGGCCTTCCCATCAAGGAGCTTCCAGTCGATGGGGGAGATTTGGGAAGAGTAACTGTATCCATGATTCAGAGCTGTGCTTACATGCTGATGGGGAAGGATAATGAACTATTGAAGAGAAACATAACATTTCATTCTGAGGCATTGGTGGCTCCCTGGTAAAATTCTTGCCTTCCATGTAGGGGGCCTGGCTTTGATTCCCAGTCATTCCATCTGCCTGTCCTTGGTGGTGTGCATGCTGGTAGGAGGCTGAACGATTTAGACTAGAAAGGAAGGCCTGCTGATCTACTTCCAAAGATCCACCAATGAAAACCCTAAGAGCCACATAGACCTACAATTCATCATGGGGATGGGACAGGCTGGGCCATTCTGTGTTGACTATGTGTGAGCCTCTGGGAGCTGGTGGCTGACTGGACAGCACTTCATTAGAGTCTTCTGTAATAGACATGGCTGTGTGTCTTTGGGCAGTGTACATGACCTCACTGAACTTCATATTCCCTGTCTACAGCATGGAGATAACAACAGCACCTAACTCACAGGGGAATTGGGAGGAGGAGGCAAGGTTAAGAAAACCCAGGACTGAACTGATTATTCAGCACATCACCAAACTCATGGGATATTTTGATACGCTACTAGGGAAGGAGTTCTGGCAGTGTGGTAGTGTGTGACCACCTGCTAACTGCAAGGTTGGCAGTTCAAATCCATCAGCCACTCTCTAAGAGAAAGATGAGGCTGTCTTCTCTCATAAAGAATTATTGCCTCAAAACCCATAGGGGCAGTTCTACTTGGTACTGTGAGGTCACTATGAGTCATAATTGATAGATGGCAGTGTTTGGGGTTTTTTTGGTATGAGTGTGGGATCAGAGGAGCTTCTCATTTTAGCAATGCTCTTTCTCCCTGTGTTATCTTCAAGATGGAACTATTTTTCTCTACCTAAAAAGGCTATTGTAAGCACCATATGAGATAAGCTATGTAAATTGCCTGACACATAGTAGGAACTCAATAAATGTTAGCTATCATAGATGTTAGCAGAGGGAAGAGATGGATTAACCTCAGACCTGTCAAAAAATGAAATCCTGTTAGATGTGAATGTCCTTCTGGAAATTAATTTCTTTTTACTTATTCACGGCTATTACTTTAATCAAAATGAAATGTCTTACTTAAAGGCAAATGATGAGTTCTGCTAATAGAAAGGTAAAAAGAAACTTAATCTATGAACTTTATATTGTCCTTCTGGCTAAGATACGGGTAGGAGCTACACAGAGCCAGAAAACTAAGTATGCTCCACAGGGAATTCTCTTTTCACCTCTACCTGACCGGATCTCATTTCGCCAATTCTGGGTTGTAAGGGGAAAATCTGTCCGGTATCACACCCTTATAGCTCAAGTAGCTGACAACCCTTTAATCCTGCCAGAGGTATTTGCAAGTTTTAAATAGGGCTTTATTATTCCCACTTCCACGTTTGTCTCCCTTAATCCATTTTCCAAACTGCAGTCAAAGCCCTCTTTTAGAAACACAAGCCTCATCATTTCTCTCCCCTTCTTAAAATTCTTTAATGGCATTCCATTGCTCTTAGGATAACATCCAAATTCCTTATTAAGGTTTACAAGGCCTTCCATTATGATGCCTGCCTCCTCCAGCAGCACTGCCTCCCTCAATCCATGCCCAGCATCACCCACGAAATACTGTTCACCATTTATTCTTCTGAAAAATTCCAGGATCCTTCCAACTTCAAGAATTTGCACATACATGTCTCTCAAACCAGAATACGTTCCACTTAGTTAATCCCTACCTTATCCTTCAAATCATAATTTTTAATGTCCTTCTTCAGAGAGACTTCCTTTGCTCTCAAAGCACCAATTTCCTCGGGCTCTAAGAAAACAGTAGTGTGTCAAGAATGTCTCTCTCTTTAAAACGTCATCGCCTCTATGGCCGATGGAGAGTAGGGGGTTCAGTATGTCTCTTCAGGTCTGCATGCCCACTTGCAATGCCTCTGCAACATTTCCCATCAAGAAGTGTTTATGTTTCTGCTCCTTGATTTTGGCCGGGCCTTTGACTTGCTTTGGCTCATAGAATACAGCAGAAGTAATGTACCAGTTATGAGCTTAGGCCTCAGGAAGTTTTGCATGTATTTACTGGTTCTCTAAGAATTCTACCAGCCTAGGTGTAAACAAGGTCAGACTTACCTGCTGGAATGTGAGAGACCATGTTGCCGTGCACTCCTGATGTCCTTGTCAACAAACCACCCAGCCTCCAGGAGTGGAACTACTGAACCGATGAGTGTCTAGCAACAGATACAAGAACGAGCACAGCCAACACAAGAAGAATCACTCAGCTGAGCCCAGCCCAAATACCCAATCCAGGGAATCATGAATTAAAATAAATAGTTGTGATTATTATTTTGATACAATAAGTTTTATAAAGGAGCATGAGCTAACTGATTCTGTTCTTCTGTGGAAGTAAATAAACATATGGATAAGCAAGTAATAAACAACATTTGGCAGGGTGCTAAATCTGTCAACAGTCTACAGGTTGATAAGAGCCATTGAGAAGAATAAAACATCACCAAGGCCTGGGATTATTCACAGAGGAAGCAATTATTTCCTCAAGCAGGTTATAAGCTTCCTGAATATATGGAACATGAATTAAAATTGTCTTGTATTTTCTGTAATAACAGCCACAGTGTAAAGTCAACATGAAAATTTAAAAATACCTGTTGGGTGATTTAAAGCAAGAATAGAAACAATATCTATCTTGCTCACCTTTATGCCCTCAGTTCTAGCACAAGGTCTGGCAGGTAGGAAAGGCAAAATAAACACTTGTGGATGACTAATTTTACACAGAGAACACGCACATTCTTCTCTTTCTTCTCCTTCTCCATCTCCTTCTCTTCCTCCTCCTTCTTCTTTTTCTTCTAATCCCAGGACACATGGAAAGAAATGAGGGAGAGAAAAGATGAGGAACTGATACCAAGGGCTCAAGTAGAAAGCAAACGTTTTGAGAATGATGATGGCAACAAATGTGCAAATGTGCTTGACACAATGGATGGATGGATTGTGAGAAGCGTTGTACGAGCTCCAATAAAATGATTAAAAACAAAAAAGAAATGACATAATATCCTTCTGGAAATACCTGGGGAGCAAGGTGGGAAGTTAAAAAAAATTAAAAAGTAGACTGCTTGTGTTATTTGCATAAAATAGAGTGATTCCTATATTTTATGAATAAAATAAATACTATGTTCCAGATGCAGACCTGGAGTTGTGCAATAGTTTAGCCCAGTTAACTGTTACTTGCCTAAGGGTTGACCATTTAAGCCCTCATGGGGGGCCTTGGAAGACAAACCTCGCAGCCTGGAGCAGTTCTATTCCGCAGACACATGGTTTCCATGAATTAGATTTGGTTTTATAGAACCCAACAATAATCGTATGCCAGGTACTGAACTGAGCACTTTATAGGGCCATCTGACTCAATCCATAACATAGCACTGTGAGCTCAAATCTCACTGCTACTGAGTCAATCCCAGCTCAATCCTATCAGACAGAGTACAGCTGCCCCTGTGGGTTTCCAAGACTGTACCTTTTTTTAACAGAGTAGAAAGCCTCATCTTTCTCACCCAGAGCTGGTTCAAATTGCTGATCTTGCAGTTAGTAACCAAATGTGAAAGTCACTATGCCACCAGGGTTCCTTATAGCACTGTGAAATAGGGGCTATTATCCTCTCTTCCAATAGCATGTTAGGGTGAATCAGTTGCAACCAACTCAACCCTTATTCATGGGACCCCATGTGTGTATAGAACTATACTCTCTACTGTTACAATTTCTTATATTTATCTACTTAGCTCATCGGGTCTTTTTTTCAAAATGCCTCGGGGCATATTCATCCTTGGGTTCGCAGTCAAATCTGTTCACTACTGACCCCAACCAAGGGCTCCAGTGAGTGAGCCTTCTCGTTGCTGTTTGGTGCCCTCGAATCGATGCCAACCCACAACAGCTCTACGTGCACAAAAATAAAACCGTGCCAGCCCTGTGCCTTCCTCACAATAGTCTCTATGTTTGCACCATCCATCCATCCCATGGAGGGTCTTCCTCTATTTGGGTGTGCTTCTACTGTAATAGGCATGATATCCTTTTACAGGGCCTGATCTCACCTCATCACTTGTCCAAAGTTTTTGAGATGAAGTCTTGCCTTCATGTCTAAAGGCCATTCTTGCTGTACTTCTTCCAAGATGGTTGGTTTTTTCCTTCATCTGGCCGTCTATGATATGTGCCATGTTCTTCACTGCTATTAGGTCAATTCCACCTGATAAAGATCATACGAGTAACTGCCCTGTGAGTAATTCAAAGGTATTCAACATCGCAATTCAAAAGTATCACTTATTCTTCAGTCTTCCTTATTCATTGTCTTGTTTTTGCATATTGATTAAAGATACAATAGCTGGATTAGGCACACCTTAATCCTAAAAGTGACATCTTTACTGATGAACATTTAAAAGTGGTCCTTTGTCAACTAAGTCCACACAGAAGAAGCACAGTAGCCTGTGTGATCAAGAATTGTAAATAATAAAATCCAAATCCAAAGGAGGGAAAGGTACCAGGCCTTAAAATGTTGAACATCCAGTTTGTGGAAGGAAAAAAGATGACAGTGAAAATCCAAAATCCACTTGCCTGGTCCCCCCTTGGATTAAGCCTCCGTTGAATTCCCTCTGACCATAGTCCAAGGATGTGAAT